GGGGTCTCAGAAAGTGGCGATGATGTCGCATGTGGGACCTCAACGGGGGCGAGGTATGATTTATGGTCTGCGTGGGACGCAACTCCGCTGGGTCCCCAGAAACATTCGGAATAGAACTTTTGTTCTTAATTTGGGTCACCGGGTCAACCACATCAGTTGACCCGCTCCACTGGGTCACCGGGTCAACTGATCCACCTCGCGGGGTCACCACGCCAACCGACCCAGGCCACCAATGCACTGGGTCACCTCGCCACCGGGTCACCTGGTCCGCGGGTCTGGGACACCGAGTCAGCTATGTCAGCTGACCCAAGCCGCCGTGTCACTGGGCCACCGAGTCAACCGACGCACATCACTGGGTCGCCAAGTCACCACGGGTCAACTGACCCACACCCCTGGGCCCCTGGGTCGGCCAGGTCAACTGACCCACGGCACCGGGTCGCCGGGCCGCGGGGCCAGCTGACAACAGCAAGTCACCGGGTCAGCTGACCACGCCACCACGTCACCCAGACCAGGATTCGCTGACCCACGGACCCACACCACTGGGTCACGGGTCCGCTGTGTCAGCTGCCTGGTGCCCTGATGACCAGGTGTGGAACAGCTAACCAACCCATCGGAACACCAAATCACTGGGTCAGCTGACCCATACCACTGGGTCGCTGGGTCACGGGGTCATCTGGGTCGGCTGATCCAGTCATTAAGTCATCGTCGCTGGATGACGCATCCACCCACAATTCGTAGACCCACACCACTAGGTCACTGGGTCACCAGGTCAATTGACCGACACTACTCGGTCACCATATTCCGTATTCTCGACCTCCTCGCCTGCACTCTCTACTATTCCCCCCACTCTCCACACAATTCTCTGTTCTACAACCCATCTCTACTGCAAATGTTCTACTGTCTACTCCCAATTCTCTACATGATCCCTACTTCTTGTCTCCAACAGATCTCCCCCTATCATTCATGATCTACTTTCTGCTCTCGATTCCTAGCTCTCTTCTCCCCGGCCTAATGTTCGACACTCCTCCGTACTTCCTGCTCGCCACTTTGCTTCCAATTACCCACTCTCTTCTTCATCTCCCCTCTTTACTCTTCTGTCTAGGTGGTCTCTACTCCCAACTCTCTTTTGTGCTATTTGTTGTACTCCCTTCCTTCAAAATGCAACACTCTGCTGATCTCTACACAATGTCTCCAACTATACGCTCTCCGTTTTCTCTTTTGCACTATATTATCTCTGCTCTTGGGCCAATGAGTTAGCAATGCCACTAGGCCATCGGGGATCACAAAACGACAAACTCACCAAATCACAAAACCACAAAGGTCGCCGAATCGCACAAACACAAGGTGAACGGGTCACTTTTGTGCCCCCAGCCAGTCCAACTAAAACATAACAAGATCTTCACATCCATCGGATCCCAAGGGGGCTCAGAAAGCGATGACGGTTTCATACCCTCAGGGATACCCCGAGGAAACGAGATCTCGTTTGGGTCCGCGTAGAACGCAGCTTCGCTAGACGCTCCATGGGCAACGGGCAGAAACTGACGACGGCTCGAAGCTAAGGGGCGCACAACGAGACGCGTGCGAACTTGTACCCGCGCGGGGCGCAGCTTCGCAGGGCGCCCTGGGAGCTCAGCAAGTCGCGGCGGTCCTGAGCCCAGGATCACCCAGGAGGCGAGGTCTCATCTGGATCCGCGTGGGACGCAGTGCTGCTGGAGCCCCGAGGGGCTCAAAGACGCGGCGACGATTCTACGATTGGAGAGCATCCAGGGAGGCGGGGTCCGATCTAGATATCGCTGCTCCGCTGGGCTCCCCACGGGCCTAGAATGGGGCGAGGGGGTTCGAAGAGGCGATGCGGCTAAGGCGGATCTGCGTTGGACGCAACTCTGCTGGACACACCCCTCAGAAGCCCTCTCGGACGCCCTCTTGGGGCCCTCCTGGGCCGTCCTAAGCCGCTTCTGGAAGCCGCTTGGGCCGTCTTGGGGCGATCTTGGAAGCCCTTTTGGGGGCGTCCTTAGCTGTCGGAAGCCCAGAGAGGCGAGAACGCCGAGATCGTGCAAGAACCTTCGGGGGATCAGTGAACTCTGCCTCTCGCGGCCCTCTTGGGGAACTCCTGGGACCCTCTTTGCTCGCCATCGCTCGGACGTCCATTCCCCGTGCATTTTTCGATTTCGTGGGTGGTTATTTTTTCCGCTAAATGATCAAAGGTGCTCCTCGATGGTCATCGCCGAGAAAAAATGCACACGTCCGAGCGATGCCAAGTTTGGAGCCTGCTAGGCCATGTCCTGGGAGCCGTCCTTGGGCGCGCGCGTCCACTTTGGGAGTCGCTGCAGTGCTCCTTGGGCCGTGCGCGGCGTGCCGGTGAGGCCTGGGAGCCGTCCGCAAGGTGCACTTGGGCGGGACGGTGGCGTCGGGGAAACTTTCCCGGGATTTTCGGGGGGGGGGGCATCTGACTTTTTCCATGCATAGATGAGCGCTTTCCACTACTCGCAAAAGTAAATGCTCGCAAATGGCCTGGATCCGCCGCGGCGGCGATATCAGCGGTCGCTGGCGGGCGCTTCCTGGCCATCGCTTGGACGTCCATTCCCTGTGTTTTTTTTCGGTTTCGTGCGTTCGCCAAAATGATCAAGGATGCTCCTCGATGGTCCTCGCCGAGCACAAATGCACACGTCCGAGCGATGCCGAGCCTCAGGTGCCGTCGTCGCCCCCCCGCTCTTTCTCTCCTGCCCCCCTGCCCTCCCGATCCGCACATGCAGGTGCCATGCCGCCCGAAGCGGCGCGCCCTGCGCCAGGACGGGGGAGGACAGGGGAAGATGGCCAGTAAACGAGAGGGGGGTAATTAGACACTGGGGTCATCATCATCATCATCATCAGCAGCAGCAGCAGCATCATCATCATCATCATCAGCATCATTATCATTATCACCACCACCACCAGTAGCAGCAGCAGCATCATCAACATCATTCCGACCACCATCATCATAACCACGATCATGACCATCATGATCATCATGATCGTCAGCAGCAACATCAACATCATCATCAAAATACAGTACAAGGGGCACTGAGCTCAGACGTGCCGCAGGGAGATGGCTCTCCAACCGCCAGTCTTCCTGAGCCGTGCCTGGGCAGATTGGAACACATGAGACGCTAGAAAGGCACACGTCTCCAAAGTACGGCAGGTCCATGGCGTGACGACTTGCGCGCTGCTGTCTAACACAGCGTGGATCGTTCAACCTTGAATAATCTCGGTTTCCAGGTAGCTTGAGTCGTTCGATGTTAGCCGATTTTGCGCCACTGGCGGCGTTCAACCTTGAACGCGCGCGCTGGGGCCGCCGCCGCATCGACACGGCACTGGCACGTGCCGTGCGAAGGTTTTCTTCGGAATCGCTGCCGACAATAGGTCTGGAGCGGGGTCTGGCCCAAAGCACCTCTGAGGAGACATCTCCCCCTGGACAAACAAACAGGCGAATCGAGGGCTGGCCCACCACTGCACACTGGGCAGGCTCGACCGCAGGCGCCGCAAGCTCTCGCTTCGTTCTCCTCCGATTCCTTTCTGTTCATCCTCCTCCTCCTCCTCCTCCTCCTCCTCCTCCTCCTCATCATCATCATCATCATCATCATCATCATCACCATCCTCATCCTCAACCTAATCCTGATCCTCCTCCTCCTCCTCCGCCCCATCATATTTGTCATCCCCATTCCCATCACCATCACCTTACCATCATCCTCATCATCCTCATCATCCTCATCATCATCATCATCATCATCATCATCATCATCATCATCATCATCGTCATCGTCATCATCATCATCATCACCATCACCACCATCATCATCATCATCATCACCATCACCATCACCATCACCATCATCACCATCACCATCATCATCATCGTCATCATCATCATCACCACCACCACCATCATCATCAGCATCATCATCATCATCAGCATCATCATCATACTCATCACCATCCTCATCATCATCCTCATGTTCATCCTTATTATCCTCCTCCTCATCATCACCATCATCGCGTCACCATCATAGCATCATCATCATCATCATCATCATCATCATCATCATCATCATCATCATCATCAGAATCATCATCATCATCAGCATCGACATCAGCATCATCAGCATCAGCTTCATCGTCATCGTCATCATCATCACCACCACCACCATCATCATCATCATCATCATCATCATCATCATCATCATCGTCATCGTCATCGTCATCGTCATCGTCATCGTCATCGTCATCGTCATCCATCTCCCTCCATAGTCCATAGCTGTTCCTGGGCTCGGGGCTCACGGCCTCATCCCCCCCCCCCCGCGATGAGACGACGGCTTCCCCGCGCTGCGGGCCGCCCCCCATCCCCACCAGATGGGATGTTGGGGACGACGGCCCCCCGTCCTATGCTAGCCTGAAGATGGGGAGGCAGAGGGAGACGATGACGACGACGATGACGACGATGATGACGACGACGACGACGAGGACGACGGCGACGAGGGCGACGACGGCGACGACGACGGCGACGACGGCGACGAGGACGACGACGACGGCGACGACGACGGCGACGAGGACGACGAGGACGAGGAGGACGACGACGACGAGGACGGCAAGGACAACGAGCACGACGAGGACGACGCGGACGAGGATGACGAGGACGACGATGCCAATGCCGATGCCGATCCTCCCCCCAGGGTGGGGTAGGGCACTGCACCACCCCACACCCAGAGGGGGGATGGGCGGGTGGGCGAAACCATTGGCATTGGAAGAGGGGGGCCTGGACCACGGACAATATCTTATATATATATATATATATATATATATATATTCTCCTCCTCATCCTCCTCCTCCTCCTCCTCGTCCCTTCTCCTACTCATCGCCCCTTCTCCTCGTCACTCCTCCTCCTGGCCCCTGGGAAGGAAGGGACGGGGAAGTGGAGGATCAGGTCGGACCGGTGATCGCCACGAGGGCACCCCAACACCGGCGGCCTGACCAGCTTCGGGCTGAGGTCGTACGCGACCACGGTGCCGAACCGGGCCGAGAGGGCGGCCAAGTATTTGCCCGCGCCACAGCCCAGGTCGATGCACCGGCTGAACGGCCCTGTCTGGCCGAGGGAGGTCTTCCACCTCCTCTTCGTCTCAATCTTCCCCTTTCTCTTCCTCCTTTTTCTTTCGGATCGGCATTGCGAATCCTCCATATCAGGCGCAACGAAAACCAAACATATCAGTCTCAACGACTGTCAAGCAAAGCATGAAATCCTGGGATCAGCTTGCCTACCTCCAGCGGCCATCGCATCATTGCAACCTTGATTTGGGTAGCAAGCGCTGTAGTGTTGAAGCTTACTCCTACTCCTCAGAGCTTGCTTGCTTGCTCCACTGCCTTAGCAGAGCTCTGCGTTATACATAGATCTATATTGATCATGGTGGGAACGGGCAATCTACACAGGAAAGATCCAACAGCAACGGCAGCGGCGGCGGCAAATGTATGCGACCGAAGGCGCCCCGCGACGCCAGGTCGCCCACTCCTCAGCCCTCCAGTCTTCTGGGCCGGGAAGGATGCTCGCCCCTTGGGGGCCCTCTTCGGGCCGTCATTGGGCGTCGTGGGAGCGTCTTGGGCCGACCTGGCAGCTGTTTTGCCTTGCCCTGGTGTTGTCTCGTCGTGTCTTGTCTTGTGTGGCCATCTTGGGACTTTTTGAAGACTTGCTATGCCAAGACAGGATCCATCCCACACCAAACTTGTTGACGCGGGTCGACTGGAGGTGTCAACCAGCTCGCCTTGTTAGAGGAAGACCCGCGCAAACATTCTTCCTGCCTCGCCTGGCAAAGCCTCCTTGAGGCCTCGTGGGGGCTTCTCGGGGCAGGGAGGCAGCATGGCCGAATCGGCGATGGTATAATCAAATATCTCGAGCCCTCCTGCACCCGAGGGTGTCGCGATGCTCGAAAGAGCGACGAGAATACGGTAATGCACGCGCAGAGGGCTTTTGAATTCATTTCGGGATGTATTAGCTGTCGGCAAGGCGAGACCTGTTAGAAGCAACTTGTGACTCTGGTGGTCTCTTGGGGGGGCTTCTTGAGAATATTTTGAAAACCTCTTGGGAGCTTCTTGGGCGGGCGCCTTTGAAAGGCCTCTCAAGGCTCTAGGGGACGTCATGCTGGAGACCCGGTGGTTTTGTTGGCGCGGTCCCGACATGGAGCGCTTCTGGGGCCCTCTTGGGACCATATTGGGAAGTCTTGGAGCCGTCTTGGGGGCCTCTGTGGGCCGTCATGGAAGCCTCGTGGGAGTCCGCTAGGGGCTGTCTTGGGGCGTCTTGTCGTCCTCTGGGGCCGTCTCTGAGCCCTCTTGGGGCGTCTTGGAGCCATCTTGGACCGACCTGGAGGTAGTCTTGGCTTGTCTTGCCGCCTCGTATCGTCTCGTCCTGTCTTGTCTGGCCTTGTCGTCTTGGACCGTCTTGGAGACATGGGGTCCATCCCACACTGATCTTGTCGCCCGCGTGACTTGCGTCCACCGAGGCGTCAAGTACAGGTAGTCTTGTTATTCTGTTCGCGAGTTGAAACTATCCTGGAGCCTTCTTGGAGCGCGTTTCGGGTCCTCATGGGGGCGTCAGGGGCAATCTTGGGTCAATCCTAAGCTCTTGTGGGGCTTCTGTTAGGGCCAGAGTAAGGCCATAAGAGACATTCGGAAGCTGCAGGAGTGATAAGGCCAAAGTGAGCGTTTTCTTCTTCGGCGTTTCGACATTGGGCGGAAGGGGGGGGAGGGGGGGGGTTTGACTCTCCAGACCGCTGCTGAATGCGACTGTTTGCAAACGTGCGTCCTAGGGTGGAGACTTCACCTGCTCGAACCAGGCGCCCAAAGCAGTCAACATCTACTCCATAGGGGGGGAGGGGGGGGGGGCGAGGGCCCGCGCCCATCGGCAAAACAATGAATAAGAAAACGATCACAAACTCATACACCCTGCGAAATGCATTAGAAATCATGGGTTAAGAAATTCATAGTCTCAGAATTTGAAATCAAACCCAGAATGTCTATTCAAATGCTAGGATTTACATTGAAGCATTAAGAATAATCGAGACTCTGGCCGAAAACTTGGGTTTACTTAAGCATCGCCTAGAGTGTAGGGACATCCCCCAAGTGTTTGAACGTTTTTAAGCCTCGAGGAGCTATCCTCAGGAGGCTCCGCGGCCACCTCCAGCAGCCTGGTGGCGGTTTGCAGGCCTCTTGGGGGCGTTAAAGGACAAATACAGGATAGTCAAGCACGAATCCAAAATAGTCAGATGAGCACGAAGAATCGTCCCAAGCCTGTTGTTTGACTATTCTTGAATTTTCCCGCCGTAGAGGGACATGCACGTGCCACTTTTTGCAGGAGGACACGAACGCAGGGCACCACGCTCAAGCAGCCCCCGGATGTCTCTGCGCAAGCGATGAATTTCATACTCGGCACGCTCCAGGGCATGCGCCACCTGGGCATCGTCGAGCTGCAACTTGAAACTGTTCGCCAATTCCCGATTCCCTCTGCGCTCCGCGTTGAGGATCCCCCGTCTCAGGTAGGTTATACTGCGAGAGCGAGTCGCGCCCTCGTCACTGAGACGCTGGTACCGACCCTGATTCCCAGACAGTTTGGATAGTTCGTGCCTGATGTGCGTATGATTTGCAGGAGTTAGCGACAGGGCGAGCTCGGCCTCCGGGCGCTTGGTCGACAGACCAGCTGAGATCAGTCTTTCTAGCGTCTCACGGCTGACGACTGTTGTGCTGCACGCTAGAACGTGATGTCCAGGGTTTTGCGCCCGACGCACAGGACGCCATCCTCCTGACCCTAGCTCCATTTTCAAGAACGATTCGATGCAATCCAGAACGGCGCGGTTCTTCTGGGACAAAGCAAGTTGTAGATTTACTGCGCCATGCGCAACCCTGATATGACCCTCCGCGTCAAAGAACCCAGCAAGGTATGGCCAAGAGCACTGGATAGATATGGGTGTATATAAATGGCCCTTGAGTACTTTCAGCTGTCGAGCGAGCTCAGTGCGGGTTTCTGCGCACGAAGGCCAGTTGGCTGCAATTTGAAGCTGTGGTGACTTCATGGAAGGCCATTGCGAGAGTTGCTCTGCAGCATACCTCCCTGCCACACCCGTCGCCTTCCATTGGAGGGCTGGCTTTCGCATGCCGATGCCTCCAGTCTTCCGGTAAACGCCACCGCCAAGAGACTGGCGAAACTCAAACAAGCATGCGCTACGATCGAAACTCTGGCCAAGACTGACTGAACAATACTTTGCAGAAGCTGACACGCAACCATCTCCATCAAAGTAGCCAGACAAATACTCCAACCTCTCCTGTGGTACTGATACTCCCCTGGACTTCGCAGTAGGCAGTGATGCCAGGGGCAGCCTATGTCTTGAACCGTCAACATGGGCATGCTCAACCTGAGGCCATCTCAAGCAACGCAACAGACGTTGTAGACGATCTCGGTGACGGTGCAATCGCTGCAGCCAGTCCTCAAAATGAGTGTTGCAACGAACAAGTTCCACGTTTGCCTGCTCGGGCAAACATTGGTACGCACGGTAGGCATCGTTGGCATAGCAAGTGGCACGCGCATCTACGCACGAATGCAGCAACGTACATCGGCCTGGTTTTGATAACATCATTCGGGGCAATTGCTTGAACCTTGAGAAGGAGTGGCTCCGGAACCATTACGTGTCATCTCGGAGGCTATCTTGGAGACTGCCTCACCTTGCTTTGCCTTGTCGAGGCCAAGATGGGGGCGTGACACGCTGGTGCTGTGGCCGAAGGGCGGTTGGAGGGGGTGTACCCATCAGACTAATGACAGCACTTCCCTGGGTCTGGGATGGGGGGTGGGAGGGCAGGTAATTCGAGCGTCCAGGACGGCCCCAGGCCTTAGATAGCCCAAGATGGCCTCCACGATCGCACAAGATAGCTCAAGACGGCTCCAGATCTTCAGATGGCTTCCAACATGTCTCCAAGCTGCTCCAAGCATCAAGACCGCGCAAAGGCGGCTCCAAGTGGCCACGTTGCCTCTCGAGGGTGCTCCCGAAAGGCCAACCTTACTTGAAGGCCTTCGGTTTTCCACTGACTTGTGACTTCTCGTTTCTTGCTTCCAAGTGGCCTGGGAGGCATCACAACTGCTCCAAGGTCGCCCAAGACGGACGGGGCTTCTGGCGTGGCTTCAATGGTGTGGTGCATTGCTTTTCCCGAGGCCAGAGTCCCAAGCTGGCCTAAGAGGGCCCCGATAAGGCCCCAATGCTGTCCATGAGGGCCCCAGTACGGCCCGAGAGCGCTCTCGGACGGCCAAGCATGGCATCAAGACGGACCCAGAGGCCTGCAAGACCATTGATCCCACTTAATCTTTGGATTGGTTTTACCGTTCTCCCCTTTTCAGGCTGAGAAACGCCCGATGCGGCCCACTCCCCAAGAGGCCCCCAAGATCGCATGAAGACGGTCAAAGAGGCCCCCAAGAGGGCCCCAAGACGGCCAGGTCGGCCCAGGATGCTCCCAAGGCGGCCCAAGAGGCCTCGCCAAGATCCCACGAAGGGGAAAGCACAGAGGCCTTGAGAGCCTTTCCTCAACTCATTGCCCCTAAAACCCTCAACTTGCCCCGAAGAGTCTCCCAGAAGCGCCCCCGAGGCCTCAAGAGGACCGCACAAGAAGCCTCCAAGAGTCCTCCGTCCTCCAAGACAACCCCGAGGGGTCCCCAAGAGACCCCCAAGAGACCCCCAACATGCCCCCAAGAGGCCTCCAAGAGGCCCCCGAGAGGTACCCCAAGAGACCGCAGGCTTCTGGCCCACAACCCAGGCACGGTGGCGGGATTGGCCGAAGGCCGTAATCCGCCGCCCCCTGTCGATTCATTGCAGGGGTGCCTGGCGTGCTGGACCCTCTCTGTTTTGGTTTTGGTTCTTTTTCCCCAAAAACTCCCCCTGGGGCTTCGGCGCTTTCCGCCAGGGTCCCGGAAGGCCGCGTAAACCACCTCAGCGTCCACAAAAAATCCTCCAAGACGGCTCAAGATGGCCTCCAAGATGGCCACGGTGGCCCAAGATGGCCTCCAAGATGGTCCAAGATGGCCTCCAAGTCCGCCCAAGATGGTCCAAGACGGC